CAAGGCCTTAATATATTTAATGGGTAAAATTTAACCGGCGCCCGTATCCCACAAAAGCACGTAAAAATTACCAGTAAAGCGTGCCTGTGTCTGAGACTTGTGTGTACTTGTGGTGTTTAGTTAAAGTTTATTTATACAGTATAGTATTTTTTTTATAAAATTAAAAGTTCTTATTTGCCATTGTATATCTGGTTGTGTACATATTTCAAAATGCGCTTGTTGTGCTTGCAATTGCTTGTTGCAATAGTGACAATGAAGATACGATCTTTAGGTTTCATACCATTCCTAAAGATAGTGTGACCAGAAAACTGTGGATAATATCTTGTTGTAGACAGGATAATTTTAATTTTAATACTGCAAGAATTTGTTCTAAACATTTTAAAATTAAAGATTACCAAAGAAATCTACAACAGGAAATTTTAAATAACGTTTCTAAAATGCGTCTAAAACTCAAACCTGAGGTAGCACCTAGTGTCTATTTGCCTAAATCAAAATCGGCTACCCTTTCAACTAACCAAAAGAAACGCGTACAAAGAGCCAAAAACAGAGAATCCAAAAAGTATGTTGAGCAGCTTCTTATTACTTCTAAGTCAACGACGTAAGTCTTAATCTTTATTTTTATTAATTATAAGTCATGAAGAATAGCAGCATGAAGGAAAAGCATACTTTTTTTTCAGTAGGTTTAATGCTTTACATTATTCTAAAAGATTACCTACATTTCTAAGGGCCGGTTTCACCAACGACAAATAGCAGTCTATTCAATGAATAAAGTTATTCGACCAATAAAACTGACATATCTGCGTTTCACCAACGTCAAGTAAGACTTATTCTATGAATAAACTCCAAATAAGTTATTTGTCCAATATCGGCCCAATAAATATTTATTCTTCGAATAAGTTGGCAGCTAACCTCACTTTAAATATCAATAATAAAGAAAATTCATTAGTTTAACAGGTTTAACTTGAAATTATCAACAATGTATTGCAGGTAAACGTAATTATATCAGACAATTTAATTTTGTATACATATATATAGATATATATATATATATATATATATATATATATATATATATATATATATATATATATATATATATATATATATATATTTATTTTCAAATAATTATCTTCATCATCATCCTCTGAAGGCTGCAAAGAAGAAACCCTTTTGCTGAATTTGATGATGTTGACATTAAAACTAGGTTTAGATTATCATCAAAAAATTCAGTAGATACTTTATTAAATTTGATCGGTAACCAATTACATCCTGTAAGCAACAAAAATAGACCCATATATGTGCGAAATCAATTGTCAATTGCTCTTCGTTTTTATGCAACAGGATCGTTTCAAATATGTATTGGCCATTCGCATTGACAATTATTATTATTTTGACAAATTAATCAACCAATATAAAATATTATAGGTTATGTATACGATTACAGTAAAAAATAGTGCGATGTGCCTGGCCAAACACCTAAAGGTGGGTACACATATGCTCCGAATACCGTCTCGAACCCCGTCGCGTACAGCGACGCGATCAACAGAAGTTCGCGACGTTGTTACAGGGGCATTGAAATAAGTAACGAACCGAACATCGCTCCGTACTTTGTACCAAACATTTTAGCGTTCCAGCAGTAATTGAGTTGAATTCGCATGTGCAAGATGGATCTTGCTGCAGCAGCCTACATTCTTATGCATTATTCAGTTAATTAAACGAAAAATATTCGTGAAAGAAGATGGTGGCAAACACAAATATATAAAAGTAGGGAGAAATATGGTAGCAATCACTTACTCTTGGATTTAAAATTTCAGTCGATCAGTGGGTTCTATAAAAATTTCACAAGGATATCTTTAAAAATTCATAAACCACTCAGCTGTTCCTGTGCTTTTACTTTTTTTTATTTTTCCTTTTTCTCTCCGTAATCCAGACAGAAAATTGGTCATTTTTTTTACACTCATCCACTGTAATTTCCATTTTAGAAGCAATCTTTTCCCATGCATCGTTTTTTATTTTATTGTAGTATCTGGGATTATTTGTGTCCCATAATATCTCTTTTTCCCGATAATTTTCGATTAAGAGTAAACTATTCTCTTCCGTCCACTCCACCTTGATGCACTCAACATTAAAAACACCTTCAACCTTCAAAATAACAGACTGACTATTTTGAATGACCTGAGATTCGATAAAAGTTTCGCAAGCTAGTCCAAACATGAATTCGCGGTGTACATTGTCGCGCTCAAATTTCTTTTGATGCGAAGGCATTTTACCGACAACCGATGGATCGCTTCGATGTACGTTGTTGACGCGTCGAGGTACGGTACGCGGTTGCATGACTCCGTCCACACTTGAGAACGCGACGTGGTTCGAGACGGCATTCGGAGCATATGTGTACCCACCTTAAGAGGTGGAGGCCAAGAGAGGTGTCAACGAGTACAGTGTGGAAAATCATTACACTTTGAACTTATTCCATGGCCTGGAATCTTATATGAATGACTTGGTTCATTCCCCCATCACTTTGACCCCAGCGAGTTAATAAAGAGAAATGACAGCCTATCTCTCTCACAAAGACTTTAACCAATCATAAACCAAATAAAATAATCAAACGAAGCAATGTCAATTCTGTCAATCCAAATTAATGACAGATCTTCCGTTTGTTTACAAGTTTTTAATTTTATTTTATTATCTTTAACTTTCGTTTACATTTATTCTTAGTAATTTTAATTTAAATTTGGTTACTTAATTTTTAAAGTTTATTTTGAGTTACCTATTGTAGCAAAGAATTTTTGTGTTGTGCTAGTAACAAAACTAAACATAGTGAATTATTGTATTGTTCGTTGTGTACAAATCATGGAAAAATTACCAAAAGAATGATAGTAAGTTGTCAGGAAGCAAAAAATAATAGTATTTAACTTGCAAATTAAGCTGCAAATATGTGTAATAAATATTATGTAATTATTTTATAACTGTTTTATCTTAAACAACAAATAAATATACGTATATCTAGAAAAAATTGTGCATCTTATATCCTTATTTTCCAATAAATATTAATTAGTAACGAAATAGCCCACAAGAGGCGCTAAAGGGTATGCATGTTAGGGGTGTTCATTCGAATTTGCCGCCAAAAGATGATTAGTATTGACCCCAGCCGCAAGGGGCCTAATGAACGAAATTTATACATTGAGTTGCCTATCTATTTCTACTATTATATTATTTATCTATGACTTATTCGACGAATAACTAACTGTGGATTACAAATAGTTATTGAAACGGAATAAAATTTATTCTACTAATAAATTTTATTCGACGATTAATTATTCAGTGATTTATCTGTTGTTGGTGAAACCGACCCTTAGATATACCTACGTTTCTAAGAAAATAATAAATAAATCTCACATCAGATGCATCACAACCATATGCATGCATAGTAGCTGGCATCAATTCACTACTTATTTCTGATTAAATATTATAATAACATAATTTTATCTTGTCTTTATAATAACTATAATTAAAGTAGTCAAATTATACAAAAGTCTTTATAATAACTATAATTAAAGTAGTCAAATTATACAAAAAAACTTAATATTAAAAGTCTTTACTATACAACTTCATTTAAATGCTGCGGGAATAAGCGGTCTTGACTACGTCATGCGCGAAAGCGAACCGATTTGGGAACATTATGTATCATATCTTGTGTTCATTGCACTATGGGCATCCCTGATCTGATAGTAGTTGCACTAGTCAGTCAGCTGGTAGAATAGAGTTTATTAAGTTAATTACTTAAATTGAATTTAACTTAAATTTTATCTACGACGAAAAAATACTACTTACATGTCAGATATAGGAAAGCCCTATAGAATAAGGTACTTCTGAGAATCACCTTCCCCCTTAGGAGTACATTCACTCGTACTTATGAATTTCAAGATATCTTGAAATTTTGAAATTTGAAAAATAATTTAAACTTCTGTTTTATTTTAATATTTGAAAAAATTACCCTCTTCGATATTCCTTCAGATGTTGCGGAATTATATTGTATTTAAGACCGTACAAGAAACACTCATTATTAGTGTAGCTAGAGAAGAGTAAAACTTTTTCGATATCTTTTTGCCAATAAGTTTTACCACAAACTTGAAGAGACTCTTGAACAGAAAAACACAAAAAGAAAAATACATCTAGACGTCGTCCTTACTGAATTAGGTCAGCACTTGATATATTTCTGAGTAAAACAACTCAAATATTGAATTATATTTATAGGCATTACTGCCACTTAGTGTCTGCTCTTATGAAATACTAATAAAATCAAGTATAACACGCATTACAGGTTAATAAATAAAAAACGTTTCTTAATCTGATAATACTGGTACATTATCTATTGTAATTTTTTTGAATTATCTGTGAATATTCTTGTGGCCTGTATTTCTTGCAAAAACGTAAACTTAGAAACGCAATATTAATTTTTTTTAACTTAACCAATTAAGTTAGTAAAAATAAGAATTTTTCGTCATAACAGTTTAAAAAGGTTTGACAGTTGAAATGTATAATATAAGATAATACAAAAAAATCTAGGGATTCATCAATCTTTCAATGGAAATAATGTTTAGCCCGGCGACTGTGTGGTGACATTATCTGACAGTAGCTGCGTGTTGAGGTAATTATCACCCCATTTCTTTATTTATAACATAAAGAAAATATTTTATTTTTAGATGCTATATTAAGCATTATATATCATGGTGGAGAAAAAGTCCTTCGGTAGGGTGTGAACGGCGGAAGTGGCAATCCCTTGATTTTAGGGATTATACAGAATCGCTATATGTGATAAAGGGCAGCAGCGATCATCAGTACCAGCTCAAGGCGTAGAGGAAATAATCCTGGATCGGCTTGAAACTGGGCTATCACAAGCATGACTGGAGCAGATCAAATGGCTGTGATACTGCGATGAAGAAGGCAACGGGAAACCACCCCATTATTACTCCCTAGTTCAATTATAATAGCACTATCATATGATAAGAAAAGGTATACTGATCATGGTCATCGGACACCAAGGTCCGGCAGGAGAAGACAAGCACACAGGGCTTCCCAGGCCGTTATCCAGCGAAATCCCTGTGGGAAAGGAAAAGAAATCAGAATAAAATGAGGTATCGGAATAGGCACATGGAATATGAGAAGCCCAGTCCGAGCGTTAATGTCATATGAAAGAATAGCGGCAGAAAATGAAAAAAATGCGAAAATGCGGATTAAAATAAACTGCAATACAAATCCTTTGCTATTGCATGTTTTATGTGACATAGGGCAGGAATTCACTGGACAATTAAGGATTGAACCAGAAGAGATAAAAAAAAATCAATAAAGAAACTGTTGGTCTTCGTTAAGGCCACTGGATTTTAAAATTTATTAAAAAAAATGGAGTATTGTCATATGACCAAGTACCAAATATTAACGCCTTCTGCTCGAACTTAGAAGAAGAAGACTGAAGATAGTTGTAACTCAATTTCTACTTTTCTTTCTTTTATTTAAAATCCAATATTTTATAAATATCTCTTCTTATTTAAACAAAATATTGTCTGTGCCTAAAATCTAAAGTAATACTAAAGTTTTCTTTTAGGTTTCTAGACAGCCAACGGATATAGTTGTGAAAATTCCAAAACCCTTACCACAATTTCAGGCAGTACCGAAACAGCGAATACAATATGTTGAGGTAAGATATAAATTTATATCATGAATATGTTGATTGTCTGAGTCAATCTCAAATAGGTAAAAGAAATGATAAATAAGACTTACTCACTATCAGTTTAATTTATCTATCTAGACGACCGGTTTCGCTTTCTACAATATGCAAAGCATCTTCAGGTCTGCCGATATAAAGTTAATTAAATGCTGAAATAATAAAACCCATATTAGGGTGTTATCTGATAAAGATAAACAAAGATAAATGATATAAATTACAGTAATTATGCCAATATTACATGTCTGTGGTTATTCAAAAAATGCATAAACTGTTTAAGCAGACAAAGTACGACCCACAAATTGGTATAAAAATAGTTTATTGAATTGTAGTAAATTAGTAAATAAACATGACATTACTTACATGCCGGTACTCTATTAATTAATATTTGGAAGAACATAGTTCAAACTATCCTGTATTGCTGAATGGAGAACTTCAGTTTTTACTATTGTAATTGTTTGACAATAAACGGGGAAGTTTCTTGAGGAGATGGATTTTATCCAATAATATCCAAGAAACTGTTGGCAAACTATCAAGTGGCGGCTTTCTGAGGTGGTATTGTACACAGAAGCTCTTTTTGGTCTAGGCATTTTTGTTTCAGCTTAATATTTTTTTAAAAGATGCTATGCAATTTATCTCCCAAAATTTAATTTATCTTAATAATATCCATAAGAGCGGGCTAGTTGATTAGCATTGGTAACACATAAGTCAATCATCAATTAAGCAATTCTGTAATTGGCTATAATACTATCCATTTGATCTACATTTCCCATGCATACATATCTTTTCGTGAATCTTCTTAATAGACCACGCTTCCAGTTAAACCAACCAGCCTCAATTCGGTGGGGATTTTCTTGGTCTACTGTCACATTTTCAGATATAAGAAAGCGAACGTATTTAAATTCTCCTACTTATCCTAGTTTTTGTCCATGTAATTCGATATCCCCAACCATTCCTGTTCCTCTTAACCACATATACTTCGTTTCCGATCTGCTAATCTTAAGTCATTATTTTTCAATTTTTCACAGACCTTTTCTAACCCTCCAACTTCTCTTTTTTTGTGCTCTCCTCTACTAACACGATATCTTCAGAAAAAGCATTGCTCATTAAGCTGCCTCATTTACCTTCTCTGTCAGTATATTTTTAACAAGATTAAATAGGTAGTGAGGAGCCTAAATGCAAACAAACCGTCACTGACAAACTTTCGGTTAATCCGACAAAAGTACTTATTTGGTGTACGCTCCTACATTAAAATCTTTTAAAAGCTTTACGTACTTCTCAGCAACCCAGTTTTCTCTCATACATCTTCATAGCTCTTTTCTAGAAGTTGTGTTAAACGCCTTCTTAAGATCTATAATTACCAAATGGAGCTCTTGTCTTCTCGCCCTATTTCTCCATTAACTATCTCAATGTAAACAAGGCATCAGTTGGACTCCTTCCTGGCATAAACCTAAACTGTTCTTCTTTTATTGATGTGTCTTTCCTTAACCTTTGATATACGGTTCTCTCCCAAATTCCCAATTTTTTTTAACGCTATTAAGTTAATTTCTTAACATTTATAAACGCACCTGTCTAAAACCTATTTAAGATTGTGCGAGGTTCGTGTCGCTATCGGTTATCGAAGAGTTTATTTTTTAATACAGAGAACTTACACTTACAGATTAAATAGATACTTTACCTACACTTTAACTACATTTTAACTTCATTACTATAACTTGACAGAATCCCTTTAAGACAGAGTTAAAAATGTCACTGAGCTTCAAAAATCAAAAGGACAAGCTGAACTATGCTTTCTTCTTCTTCTTCAAGCGCCCTCTCCGCTAAGGAGTTTGGCAATTATCATTGCTATTCGTATCTTTAAAGCTGTTGATCTAATAAATTGGTTAGATGTGCACTGGAAATATATATATATATATATATAGTCCCAAGATTCCTAAGAGGAACATAGGGCTTCCACAAAGTGTCTCCAGCGAACTCTATTTCTGGCTAGTGCTTTGATTTCAAGCCAGGATTTTCCCATTGTTCTCCCTTCGTCCAGTACTGTCCTTCTCCAAGTTCCCTTAGGTCTGCCTACTTTCCATCGGCCTTGGGGATTCCAATTCAGTGCTGTCCTGGCAATGTCATTTGGCGGTCTACGGAGTGTGTGGCCCAGCCATCTCCATTTTCTTCGCCTTATTTGCTTTATGACATTTTCTTGGTTGCTTTGGTTCCATAAATGTTTGCACTGGAAATAGTCTCTTAAATTGCGCAGCCAAGATATACGTCGTCTCTCCACGCTTAGTTTGCCGTGAATCTTTCCTTGGATTATTAACTATAGAAATCGGTACTTTTTCCATCTCATCACATGACCAAATTATTCCAACTTTCGTTTCTTGATGATGATCAACAGCTCCTGTTCTTTGTTCATTTTTCGAAGAACTACACTATTTGATATTTTGTCTGTCCAAGGTATTTTCAAAATTCTTCTATATATTCACATTTCGAAGGCCTCTAGTTTATCGGTATTGCTCTTGTTTAAAGTCCAAGTCTCTACTCCGTACAGCAGTATCGAAAAGACGTAGCATCTAACCAATCTTATTTTGAGGTTTACGTTGATGTCATGACTTCCCAGAATGTCTTTCATATTAACAAAAGTAGCTCGAGCCTTTCGAATTCTAGTTTTTATTTCTTCTGTGATGTCATGGTTGTTATTAACACTTGTTCCCAAATATTTATATTTGTGCACCCATTTGATTTCGCTATTATGAATGTACAGGTTTGCATTCAATCTTTATTGTTTTGAAATAATCATGAATTTGGTCTTCTTGACATTTATTGTTAACCCTTTCCCTTCACTAGCCGTGACTTCTTTGTTTAAAGTGGCTTGCAGGTCTTCTACTGTCTCCGCCATTAAAACCGTATCAATTGCTTATCTAATAATATTAATTGGTTGGCCGTTAACTTTTATCCCAATCTTTTCTTCCTCCAATGCTTTCTTCATAATTTCTTCCGAATAGAGATTAAATAGCATTGGTGACAGCACACCTCCGTGTCTAATTCCTTTTTTAATTTGAACTTAATTTAAGGCACACCTTCTGATTATACTACAAAGTAGATATTATTCTTATATCGCGAGTGTCCAACTGTTTAGATTTCAAGATCTCTAAAAGTTGGTCATGCTTGACGTTATCAAACACGTTGTAATCAATGAAACAAGCAAATACATCTTGGTTTACATCCAAACACCTCCAATGAAAGAGGGACAAAGGTTGATCTTAGTTATTCTTTAGGAATTATACTGTTTTCATAAATCTTGTTAAATAAGTCTACTAACAAATGGATTCGATCTTCGTCTATCAACTTTAGTATATCCGCTGGTAGCTCGTCTGTTTCTGGAGCTTTGCTATTCTTTAATGACTTCACCGCTTGCATTACTTCTTCTTTGATTTTCTGGATCTGTCTCCTCTGGAAAATTATCACAAGGAGGCTGCCTTTGATTGTCAAACAGTTCTTCTATATATGTCTGCCAATGTTTTAGTTTCTCCTGTTTCCATTATCATGTTCCCTTGTTGGTCTATAAGTACTGTCTGCTTCCTGTTTCTATTGTTGATCATTTCTTTAACTTTCTTGTGAAAATAAAACGAATCATATTTGGCTTCCAAGTTTAAAAATCTCCTTACATTTGTCTTGTAACCATTGTTTTTTAGCGTCCAGGATTTTTCTTTTGATCTCTGTGTTAATTTGCTTATACTATTCTTTATTTTAACCTTTCGATATTCTTCGAGAATTCATCAATAAGAAAATTTTGTCACTTATTAATTCTTTCTGTTTCTTTGGTTTTTCTCTCTTTAGAATAATTTTTTTAGCGGGCTCCGGTACATTCTATTTAATAATGGCTCAGTGTTTAGTAATGTCTAGTTCTCGTATCTTTTCTGTCTTTTTAAGTTTTTCAAGATTTGCCTGAATGCGTGTTTCTACCTGATGTTTAATTGTTTCATCATTTAAACGATTGATATCTATTACTTGTTTGGGCTTAGGTGTTTGCACTCTTTTAAGTTTTATTCGGAATTATGCCACTACTGGATTGTGGTCTGACCCTATATCTGCTCCTGCTTACGTTTTCACAGATTCGATTGTGTCTTTATATCTGTTTTTTATGGGTATATAATCTATTTAATTCCGTAATATTATGGTCTCTAGTGTCTCCAGGAGATTTCCACGTGTATACTCGTCTTCTTGGTAGTTGACAAAATGTGTTTTTATTTAAAATTATTTTCCTGGCAAAATTGCAACTGCCGATCACCTCTTTCATTTCTTTGGCCGAGAACATATTTTCCAACTCATTTACCACATTCTCCTTTCCTTCCATTATTGATGTAATGTCTCTAAACTTAACAACTTTCAGTGTTTTTTCATTGGTTTTATAAAATTCTTCTGTATCTTCTTCGCTACTCTCCACTGTAGGAGCATATAATTGAACTGTATTTAATTTTCCCTGAATGGTTAACAAAGTTTATAATCCACTTACTAATTTCCTTGGTGACCAATATTGTCAACCCATTACTACGATGATTGTCATTTCGTCCTGAAAAATATATGGTACCGTTTGGGGTGACGCATTGGGGTGAACACATTTGTCCATCTGAGTTCGCATCTTCGACGTCATGACACATCTCTTCACTAGCATTGTGTAGTTTTTCAGCTTCAAATAGCGTTCTCACATTCCATGTGGCGATACGGATCGATGTACTATGCATTTTTAAGGGGTTTTGCAGATTGACGACCGGAGGAGCCCTGCGGCTTATTGAATCTTCCCTCCTACCGGATCTTGGTATTCGATGACCATGATCAGTAACTTCCAAAGAATCGCTATTCTTTGCCATGATGATTTATACTAGGGGTACTCTACGAGTCTTTAATACAGTGGTTCCCCGATGTCTTCTATATCCTTATGCCGTTGCCTAGGTTCATCCGCCTCGAGATCGATTTCTCAATCTCAGGACAAAAGAGTTCTTTACAACAACTTTAGCTATAAATTCTGGGTAATACCTTTTCGCGGAAACATTTTCCGTGACGTGTGATTGTTTGTAATATGAATATTTAAATCCAACGTTTTTTGGCCATATTTAAAATGCCTCACATTGGTTGCAAAAACTTAAAACCAAAATAAATATAAGATAAATTTTTATCTCATGAGAATCGCAAATTGGTAAAAAAAAACTTTTATTTATTTAGCACCTTGATAGACACTATACAAAATTTGTGGCAATATATAAAAATTCTATAAGAGAGCGGCACTTTTTACCTTAAAAATGCATTTTGAGTTTTCTTGATAGGAAAATCTTATCAAAAGATATTAAGTTTTCACCGTCGAGCTCATACAAATTTTATTTAAAATTAATTTCGCGCGTGTAACTGACATTAAAAATAATCGGTAATCAAGTGCTAATAAATATGTTTGTTTAAAATTATCAGCTACATTTTCTATTAAAGACATTTTTTCTACGGCGTAAAGATTCTTGCTAAGTCGGTTTTTTCCGTTTTTCGTTCCTACGGTGGGGGGGGGGGGTGGTGGAAAGCTTTGGGGTAAAAGTAACAAATTTTATTGCATCTTTCTTAGTGTTCCAAAATTGACGATCTTATCAAAACTCAGCTTCTTTGTATAATTTTTAAAAGTCAAATTTCTTACGACTATACTATCTATTAACTTAAACTTAACTTAGAAAAAAACATTTGGACTGTATTCCCTTTACTCTGTTCTTCCTTAGCTTTAGCTCTAATTTCTTTTTGAATAATTCTGTGCTGTTCGCTCATATCATCATTTATATATACTTTGTGTTTGCTAATATTTCTTAGTTTGGCTTTATTGTTCATAAAAGTGTATATTTTTGGTTACTATCTTTTAGTTAACAAACAGGACTTTTCTTCTATTTTAATTGCTCTTTCTACTTCAATCTCAATGTTCAGGTGCGTACTTATAAATCTTTGCATATTGCTCTTCACTGTTTCTACGGTATTTGTTTCTATTGGTATTCCCTGAATTACTACATTATTTCTTCTTTTCTCGTTCTCAAGTCTTTTAATTCTGTCCATTGCTTGTATAAGATCTTTCTTGATCTCTTGATTTTCTGATTTGCGTAGTTTCGTTTTTCAAATCTTGAATTTCTGTTAGACATTTTTTTTGTCCTTGTTTTATTTCCTTCATTTCTGCTTCTATAAATCGTTGCAAGCCTTGGATCATATCCATTATTTTTCCTGAGTTATCTTCTTTTTGCTCTTTCAGGTCTGGAGATCTTTTAGTTTTTGCGCACTTTTCAAAACCAAATGTTTGTGAACCTTTCCTTCTTTTGCCCCTTATCCGTGGTGTACTCGTCTTCACCATCCATTGCTTTCTAATTGTGCTTGTGATATTAGCTGTTCAGTTCAACTACCCAATCGCGTAAAAAGTAGACCCCGGTCAACCCGTCGTAAGTCTTGTTTTTATCGATCGGTCTTCTATTAAGCTGTGGTTTTCTTCACAATAAATTATATCATTCTGTTCTCTTTAGATTCTTTACTATTTTTGCATTACGGCAACACCGCTTTTCTACCGGTCAGAATTTCGAGGTCGGATTAGTTCTTTTGCTCTTATCGCTAAATTAAACAACAGAAACTGTTCGTATCGGAACAACTGATTTTGCTTATTATTGTTAGTAATTAGCCACTTACTATCGGTTTATTCACCGTCGAGCTCATACAAATTTTATTTAAAATTAATTTCGAGCATGTAAGTGACATTAAAAATAATCGGTTTCTTCAGGCCTTGTTTCTTCGATTCATTCTGCACGTGCTAATAAATATGTTTGTTTAAAATTATCGCAGCTACATTTTCTGTTTAAGACATTTTTTCTACGCGGCGTAGAGATTCTTACTAAATCGGTTTTTTCCATTTTTCGTTCAAAGCCTTAGGGTAAAAGTGACAATTTTTATTGCATCTTTCTTAGTGTTACAAAATTGACCATCTCATCAAAACTCAGCTTTTTCGTATAATTTTTAAAAGTCAAATTTCTTACGACTAGACTATCTCAACTTAAAAATTAATTTTCATCTTTATTCATTATTTATCATTACTGTGTTTAAAATTTGTTTTCCTTTGAAATAGGAAACAGAAATGAAAAGCGTTAAAAGGAAAACATATTACTACAGCTTATAAAAAACGATTCAATTAGCATTCTATAATGGAAAGGTAATTCCATTGTCCCTGTTGAGTTTTACGTTGATGGAATATTCACGTTGACTACAGTTAATAAGTATTATGTGTCAAATAAAAAACGGTAATTTCAAGACCTGACAATAACGCGACATATAAGAACTGGATGTGAGTGACCGATCAGATGAACTCTAATATTATTGTGTATCGGATTGGAAATAGACGGCAAAGTTTCAAGATGTAACAAGAATATAAAAGAAATATTAATTGGCAGGTGTTGGGGAAAAGTGATATAAGTCGAAAAATGTAAAAAATGAGTTAAACATAAATACCACTTTCAAATGCATGTATCTTTGATAGGGTGAAGTGATATAAGTCAATTTAATAGGCAAGCAGATGTTATTTGTTTGCGTTACATGATATAAGTATTTTTAATATCATTTAATATAGTGAAAAATGTTAAAAATATTATAGTACTATTTGTTTCGCCTCCATCTGCCAGACAGGAAAAAAAAATTATAGAGCAAACTGAAATAAGTCTAGTTATAATAGTCTTCCCTATATAACTTTATGATTAATATTTGTGAATAGTGATACAAGTGCAAATATATCAAAAGTTATTGGTAAAATATGATTGTGAATAAACACAACACACAGTAAAAATATATTACTATTCTCATTAAAAAATATAGGGAAAAACATTATATGTTGACATATCACAAATGTTTTATCTCCAAAATTGAAAACTCATGATATATGTTGAGATATACTAGTAGTTACGGCAATAGAAATTCAAACTGTGCAGTTTTAGGTCGACTTACCTCGCTTTTCCCTATTAAAATAATGACCGCTTTGTTCCCGCTCAATCGACTTGTCTCTCATTTGTCGTTTAGTACTACACGTGTGTTACTGTTGGTTTTATCCACTTTTGTTTTGACCTTTTAAATGAGCTTTAAGTATTCGAGAGAAATGTAATAAGTAGTGTAGTGATAGTATACCTCACCTATACTACGTTCCACGTTTAGAAAATAACATTGCGGGGATAGGGCCATGTATTTCTTATGGACGATAGCAACGCGGCGTTGCCACGACACACACAAGCACAATTTAGGGTTGTATAATTTGTATTTTTGTTTCCACAAACATGAATTAAATTAATGTTTTTTAACGTAATTGACCAAAAGTGCCCATTCGAAACAAGAGATGAAAAGTAGGGAAAATGATTTTAATTAGATAAATAGTATTTACAAAAGATAATTTTATTTTATCTTATTTTAATTATACTAACGACAGTTTATTTGTTTTTCGGTGAGAATACGATATGCCATGAATCATGGAAATCAGTAGAAAATATTGACCGCTTGGAATGCGTATATCTAATTACTAATTGCAACTTAAAATAATACGATGTGCGTATGTCAGCTATTTTATGTCGTTCTCTGACTACATAATAATAATAAGGCTTTTATTTAGTAGTTATTCTGACTTTACAGTTAAATGGTAATTGAAAATGAAAATTCAAAAATTAAGCAAAGGGAATATCTTGGACATCCGTGCAAAAGAGAGTGTCTGAGAGTTTTGGTAAGACTGATCTCCATAAGCGTAATGTTATTTTCTTAACTTGAAACAAAGAATAGTTATAATATAACATCAATTCCTGTTCGAGATTATTTAGTAATAGCCGTGAGAAATAAAAATTAGAGGTTATGGCATCTAGAAGCAAATTGATTTTCAAACTGTTGGAAGAAGATAATGTAAATACTGGAGACCTCCAAGGTAATATTTGTTTATTTATCTGTACAATAATACAATAAGAGAGTGTCTGAGAGTTTTGGCAACACTGATCTCCATAAGCGTAATGTTATTTTCTTAACTTGAAACAAAGAATAGTTATAATATAACATCAATTCCTGTTCGAGATTATTTAGTAATAGCCGTGAGAAATAAAAATTAGAGGTTATGGCATCTAGAAGCAAATTGATTTTCAAACTGTTGGAAGAAGATAATGTAAATACTGGAGACCTCCAAGGTAATATTTGTTTATTTATCTGTACAATAATAATTAAAACAGTAATATCAATATTTTTTATACGACATACTAGAAACATTTATTTTTGCGTAAAAGTTTTCTAGATCCACTTGGTGAATATGCCTATTGTTTTTGGTTAACTTTAACCAGTGGCGTTACTTTAATTTGTATCTCTAAAAGTTTTAAAAATTAATGTATGTAAAAGTTGATGCTTAACTTACATACTGAATTCCAATTTCAGATTTCCTATCATTTTATACAGAAAATAATATATTTTCGGTTTTCTCTAGAGGGGACCGAATTTCCATAAAAAGTAAAAAACCAATTTTTGCGTGACAATTTCATTTTTCTGGAAAAAAATTGACAGCATTTATTAGTTTTTCAAAAATTTGATATTAATCTGGCTTTTTAGATGAAAATTTCATGATGGGCAATGCGGGTGTTTTCTTTGAAGAACCTGTCTTAGCAGATGAAGGTAATAGATCAAGTCCTGCACCTTCACTGTCCTTCTGTGAACCGAATGTTCGAAAGACTTTAGAAAAAGTTATTGATCAAGTATGTGGGATTGATGACGACAAAGGTTATATGGAATATCTAGGTATTGAGGAGGCGTTTCATGATAGTGACGCGGACCCAGATTATACACAAGAAAGTGATACCGACTCCGATAATGACATCCCAAAGAAAAAGCTGCAAAAAGATACAACAGCACTTATTGCACATGAGTCAGGAAGAGAAATATTAAAAAATAAACCTGGACGAGAATCGCTAAAAAATGAAACTAGGCTAATTCGTGAGGAACGAAAGCAGAACAGAAACCTTGGGTTATCGTACACCACGAACAGTGGGAAGGTTATAAAAGCACGGACATGTCAGAAGTTGCCGCTTGAAATGTAAAGACAGGATAACTGAAGAAAAACGATAGGAAATTTTCAAAGAATATTGGTCTTTAACGAGCTTTAACAAACGCGTATCTTTTATAGCTAGGCTTATAACAACAGACGGAAAGAAAACCACAAAACGTAAATTAGAAAACAAAAAACATAAAAATAGGCTTCTGTCACACAAATATTTGTTACCACTAAATGGTCAACTACTAGTTAAAGTTTGTTAAAGTTGTTTCCTAAAAACTTTTAACGAAACAAAACGGTTTCTTACCGATGTGATAAAAAACAAGATTTCTTTAGCTTCTGCAATGCCACATGATGATTTGCGAGGTCTTGCCTCACCATCTAACAAACTCCCGAACAAGATATTCAATTAGTAAGAATTCACATTAGATCAATCCCAACGTATGAGAGTCTATATTGTCGTCGTGAGCCACCAAAGATTACTACACCTTAACAATAATATATGTAGAATACAAAAAATGGATACCTCACGAGAAAACCCCAGTATCGAAATTCAAATATCAAGAAGTATTCCATTCCATGGAAATAAAAATCAAACAGCCTAAAAAGAATACCTACGCTACATGCGATAAATATCATGTGCTCCTGAAAACAACTAAAGATGCACAAAAAATGCAAGAAATTCAAAATCTTCTTGATAATCACCAACAAGAAGCATTAAACGCTTATTAGGTTAAGCGTATATATAAAAATGCTGCGTTAGAAAATGAATCAAAAATCATTTATACGTTTGATTTGCAGTGTCCCCACACCTGACCTTCAGACTTCAATAGTGGAGGGTGCCGGTTTACAACATCCCTTCCATGGAGAGGCTTGTATGCAACAGTGTCTCTTTCAGCGGCTTTGTTCTTGCTGTAAGCCCAATTAGTCCGCTAGCCTTCGACAGCTCAGTAGAGAAACTAAAATGGACTTTCAAAGTTGCTTTTATCTGGCCTGTTGAATTGATATAGTAAAATGAAACAATTACTTGTTTAGAAAGAAACTGTAATTGAAAAAAGAGAGAAAGGGCAAGAAATAGAGCTTATAAAATTTGAGTGTGTAACTTATCGTAGAAACTTAATTTGAATATTACAATTTGCGAACGAAAGCGAAAACACCATAACACTTATTCACATATTACGGCTTCCCGGCCAATAGCGTAAATTGCAACGTGGAGAAACCTCTCCGAACTTTAAAATATAGATGTTAGCCCTACGAAAGTCGCTAAATCACTGTATGTGTCGACTGGTCGCCTCCCTCGCCCCGCCGGAATATTTTTTTGTTTGGGCATTTTGAAAAACGGATCTATCGTCACGTAGGCGCTGTGGGCGGGGATTAACATTCTCAGAAACAAGGTCTAGGTAGACTGGATTTATTTAGGTAACAGACGCGAAAATAGAATTATTTGATACAAAATAGAATTATTGGTTTGGAGATATAGTTCTCCAACAAATAGCATTTTATAAAAGGCAGCTGGGGACCTTAAATTTAACATTACATAGATTTAATGATAATCAAGCAATGTGTTTTATGTGGCATGAGGGCGTAGCTGGACGGAGTGCAAATCAGATTGCGTCATGCTTATACAAGCAGATTTCACCTGAAATAAAAGAGATCACCTTATATTCTGATACGTGTGCAGGACAAAACAAGGACTCTTTTCTACCTGCAATTATCATGATGGTTTTAAAAGAGAAACCCAATCTATCATACATTAACCACAAATTTCTTGTTCCTGGTCACACCCACTGGAAGTGTGATTAAGATCACGCAATTATAGAGAAAAAAAAAAGAAAAGATATCCATGTTCGATAGTACACCCAAGAGACTGGATGAATTTGGTAAGACTATGTGGAAATAAGCGAACTTTTTTAGTTACTGAAATGTGCAGTTCGGATTTTCTTGAGTTTTCTTCTTTGTATAAGAATGTCCTTCAACAAAGAAAAATTAACAACTTAGGAGAAAAAGTCATGTGGAAACAAATGAAATAGTTGAGATTTTCACAGAATCCTGGTGTCCTTGAATACAAAAGTAGCTTAGATGTAGACGAACCATTGTCAAATTGAAACCCATTGAAAACCATTGAAAAGCGTATGTTTTTTTAAAAAATGGTAATACGTGGCCTAAAAACATAAAAATTCCTCTGTCATAATATAAAGGTCCCAATCCAATAAACATCGATAAACAAAAGAACTTAATAGAGCTATTGCCTTATATTTCAGAAACATTTCATGATTTTTATAGAAATTTAACTACGAAGGAGGATATACCAAATACGTTACCCGAGGATGAAAATAGTAGTGACGAGGAAAGTGTACACACAGAAATTGAAATTTTTAAAAATTAAGTAAGCTTTTACGATGTATACAGCTTGACTATAAATGTACCCCCTTAAGTAAACATAAAACTTTTCAGTTTAACATTTTTTTATTTATAATTAATAATTAGATTTGTTACTATATCTTTTGGAAGGGCTTTTGTTCTTTAATAAATAATTGTGAAAAGTGATATGTCATATTTTTTTTCTTCAAATTGTACAACTAGGTCCATTTTACTAGTAGATCTATTTTAATCCAACAAATTCAAAGCCATTTCCAAAAATTGTTTAACAAAAATATCATATTTGTATTCGTAACAACAATATTAAATTTGAAAAAACTATAATTGCGTTTTTCTCGAAACTTAAAATTTAGACTTATACCACTTTTCTCCAACATCTGCTAATTGTTCTTTATGCACGACCTCTTACTCAAAAACCAATAATAATATTTTTTTTTGATTTCAGATTGTTTAATTAAAGTGCATCTTTTAGACATTTATTTAAAATTTACGAAAGTAGATACAAAAAAATAATGCAGTTATTAACACATTAAGTTCCTGAGACTGGTTTTCTGATGCGTAACATATCCTTTCTGTTCCCTTTGAATTAGTACTAACTCTATGAAACTAGAGTAAAGCGGTTGATGAGTTGCAAAGATCCCTCAGTCGGATCCTACTTTATAATCAGGATAGTCTTTAAAGTAATTACATAATAAGCTATTGGTTAACTAAATCCTTCTCTAATTAATTCAGTGTGTCCTGACAAAATAACGGAAATTGTCTTATGCACTGTTAGTAAACTGTGTAAAAAAGAAATGGATTACGAAACCTTAAAAACATCTTGTGGAATATACAAGATACAACGTTAGTCTAATTTTTTGTTTAAAATAAATTTAGTTAAAATTTAAATTTTAAACAGGACAGGAATTAGTAAGTTGTATTCAATGTGGGCTCCAAATATTTTTAACATTAATAAAGTTTAATATAAGTTATAAATTGTAAATGTCAGTGATATATTAAAATAAACTGTACAAACTCTTTACATAATATCCAGTTGAATTAGCAATAAAGTCAGCAAATTGCAATTATTTGTTATTGTTTTGTTGTCAATAAACCAATCCGATTTTATCAGCAAATAACCGCTTTTAGTAAAGACCGATGTACCTCTTTTAGCGGGTGTACAGGGTCGAACTTACTTTTCACTTAACGTTTATCGAAATGAATTCAAACATGGAATCACACAACAGTTCTACCATACAAGACCATCAAAGTCAAATAAACGCATCAAAGTCGTCCTCTTTAGCAGAGTCGATAGTGCAATATCCGTTAAAGTCCCAAACAATTATCTTTAGTGACTTAGAAAACACCAAATTTCAAGACTATCTTCTCTAATAGATTATCCGATAATTGCATATGGATGTATTTATTCAATAAACAAATAGTGAATGATTTTATGAATAATTATGGTTAAATTGAAATACAAAGTGAAATTGTCAGAGCAAGAAGGTTAGTTACACCAGCGGAACGACTTGTGCTCTCTGGCGTATGTCCTTCAATACCACACGACCTGCTAATCAATGAGTTACAAAAAATCGGCATAGTTCCTGTCTTTCCCATGACATTCCCCAAAATTAGTGCTTCTATGCCTGAAAACAATCATATCCTTAGGTTTCGAAGACAAATATATATCAGTCCTTACAGCCTAACACTACCAGAGTCATTTACTCTTGTCTTTGATAACACGATGTATAGAATATTTATTTCTTAAGACAGTTTAGTTTGCTTTAGATGCAAGAAACCAGGTCACATTGCTTCACAGTGCTTCGAACCACTAGCTCAACTAAACCAAAACCAAAACCATGAAGCATAAGAATCCAGCGCAACAAATATAATTGCAAGCGGTTAATGACACAAACTCTTCTCAGTGTGAATAAATGTCTATTTTTATTATGCCAAATTTGCCAATTTGCCAAATAAGCTGAATGAAAGCAATCCTCAACAAAAGTTTAGATCCAGACAATTTATTAGGTTCCTTTAAATGTATAAATATGATACACCGAATTGTTACAAATGTTCAATTGTTCACAAATTGTAAGTAATTGTTACAATGATTGATTGTTACAAATGTTAAATTTAATATTATTACAAATGTTACAGGAATGTAGCTAATAAACTTTACGTGGATGCGACTTTGTCTCTTTAAATAAATAATAATAATAATAATAATAAAATAAATATAATAAATAATAATTATTAAATTATATATCGGTTTAACTCTAAGCGAAAACTTAATACTAGTTCATATTATACGTTAAATTAAAATAAATTTTAAAAATAACTATAATTGCTGTTGTTTAGTTACAGAAACAAGATAATACGTCGATTTAAAAAAAAACCTTAATTACATATCAAGTCTTATTAACAATGCCTTGAAATAAGTGTCGCTTACACATACAATATATAGCAATCTAATTCATACAGCAAAAAACAAATGTTCCATTAAATGGATAATCAGTGAAGAATTTCTTCTAATCATAGATAAAAAAAAAGTTTAAAGATGAATGCGAACAAAAATCCAAAATATAACAAAAAATACGTCGAAAAAAAATTTTATAAAACAAAGAATCATGCTACAATAAAAACGACGACAGCTAAATATAAAATAACTCAATACGTTAAAAAATAAACAATAGTTTATAAAGTATGAGTTTACATTACGGTCCAGTTAATCTTTACCTACAGGCGGCTTTATGCAGCTACACGCGCAGTGTACGTACCACATAAAGATCAAAGTTACGAGATACAGAAAATTATAATATATTTTTGTGAATGATGGTAGAATACATAAAAAATATTAGATAATACAATATAATACATGTACACACATGTAAAATCTTAAACAGTAAAAATAAGGAAACTACTAGAATAATGATAAGAATTAAAAAAATTAAAAATAAGCTAATACCATCATCATCATCATCTTGGTGCTACAGCTCTTAGAGGGCTTCGACTTTCTCAAGCTTTCTACGCTATTCTGTTCTGTCCCTTACTTGCATTTTCCAGTTGCCGACTTCGATCTTCTCCGCATCTTGTGTTACCCCATCCATCTACCTCAGCTTTGGTCTACCCCGTATTTTCATCCCCAGGGGTTGCGCTGTTAGAATCTTTTTATCATCCACAAAGAATCTACGTCCCTGTAGTTGGCTGTATTCCATATATTAAACAAATATATTAAAAATTCTGTATAAAAGGTATGTATTTAAAAACCCAATCGGTCTATGCTATACAAAACGTTTTCAGAATCCATATTCCATCATCATTGTCTAGGTATACATGAATGTAGCCACTAAATATTTGGGTAAAAACCGGTTAAACATTATATATTTAAATTTAGTTTACATTATTTCTTATTAGCTATTAAGATGTTAAAGTTACCGTTAGATTTGGTAACATGGAGACATATGACTACACGTGTAGTTGCAAGTCTAAGACGGTGTGTCTACGAGGACTTTATGAAAGCAACTGATTGCTTGCAAATAGTAGACTTCAGTAGACCATGATAACACCTGTTTGCAATTATTATTCGCCTTTTTATTTCCTCAGATATGTTATTATTGGGGTTAACCGATGTCCCTAGATATATGAACTCTTTGACTGCTTCGAAGTTTTGGTCATCGATGAATAAATTTGCGTCAACATTTCCAGCTCTTGTGTTTGTGTTAGTCGCCATGAATTTGGTTTTATTTTGTTTTATATGTAACCACATTCGTTCTGCTACTGCTACTAGCTCGGTTATAATTTCCTCAGTTCTCGCCCTGGTTATTGTTACAATGTCCACGTCGTCTGCATATGCTAAAATTTGGACTGATCAGTTAAATATTGTTCCCCTGCTTTTTAAATTAGCGTCTAGTATAACTTTTTCTAAGAAAACGCTGACACGCCAGCGGATCTCCTTGCCTTAACCCCCTATGTATTTCAAATGGGGTTGACGAGTCGTTTTGAATTTTTACTGCTGATAGCATCTTCGCCGTTGTCACTTTTATCAAACATATGAGTTTTTTGGAATTCCTAACTCATTTATAGCGTTGTAAAGACTTGGTCTTAAGACACTGTCATATGCCACTTTAAAATCTACAAAAATATGATATATATGTTAAACTCTTGCGGTTTTTCAAGGATCTGTCGTAGTATAAACAACGGGTTAATGGTTTAACGTCCACGCCTGAATCCTGCCTGATTCCTAGAAACATTTCGGTATAAGGCCTTAATCTCTCGTGCAAAATGTTTGACAATATCTTGTATGCTGTATTTAGGAGAGTTATTCCGCGGTAATTATTGCATTCCAGTTGGTTTTCCTTTTTGTATAACGGACAAATTAAGCCTAAGCTTAATTCTTTAGGCATTTGCTCCTCAGACCAAATTTTACAAAAAAATTCTCGCATCACCTTGGTCAGTTGCTCTCCACGGTGCTTAAAGAACTCTGCTGGGATGCCATCGCTGCCTGGGGCTTTGTGATTCTTTAGTTTTTTTATAGATATTTTCACTTCATCTACCGTGGGGGGTTCCACGAGTTCCTCATCTCGGTATTCCAGCTCTATATTTTTAGTAGATTCCCCTTCCAGCAACTCTCGAAAGTGCTCTACCCATCGTTAAAGGATATTCTCTTTGTTGGTAAGTAAGTTACCTTCTTTATTATTAATATTTGATTCTTGGTTTGAATTCTTATCTAATAATATTTATTTGATGATAAAACTTATTTCTTTTTTCGGTGTATGAGTTTTTCCTCTCTCCTTAAGTTTTTGTATCTGTCTATTGTTGTTCTTGTTTTTCGTTTTTGCATGGTCCTAAATGCCTCGTTCTTCTCATCTGTTTTTTTTTTTGCAGTTTTGGTCGAACCAGTCGTTTTTTTCTTGGGTTCGGGATATTCCCAATGTGCTTTCGGCTGCTAATTTCAGAGCTTCCTTGTAGTTGTTCCACATTTCCGTGCTTGACTAGTCGACTGCCCAGGTGTGTTCTAGGGTTTCTTTTATTTATATGTGACTGGAACTGTTTCTCTTTGTTTTGTTTTTTCTCTTAGTGACCCTTTCTTTCTTGCTATTGGAAATTCTTTGTCCTAACTTGGCCCCTACCATAAAATGGTCTGAGTCAATATTTGCACCTCTGCAACTTTTGACGTCTATTAGGTTTGTAAAGTGCCTTCTGTCAATTATAACCTGATCAGTTTAATTTGTGGTATGTCTATTTGGTGATATCCAAGCTGCTTTATGAATATTGTTATGATTAAAACATGTACTTCCTACAATTAAATCTTTGAAAGCTGTCATACTAATAAGCCTTAAACCATTGTCATTAGTAACGCCGTGAAGGCTGTGTTTAGCAATATAATCTTGGTAGGATATCTATTTTCCTATCTGAGCGTTCATGGCGCCCAGATAGGAAAATTATTATTTTAATATCGTTTTTAGCACAGTTATCATATG